AAAGAAAGACAAGTAGGAATCATCAATAAGTTTGTGCATCATATTTTATTTGCACATTTATTGAATGGAAATGTTTCTGATTCACGCATGCAAATTCATCTTCAGATAGTGTCTTTATAGCAATGTGCGTGCGGTAGATCGCTCAGATTACATTGGGAAAACAGGCGACCGCTGCAAATTGTGCTTTAATGTTTAGCTGGTCAACTGTATGGTATGGAAATCTTACATACCTACTATATGAACCCGTCTCAAACAGCTGCCATTGCAAGGCTCAGACACTTTGTAGAGAGCAATTTAACACAACTGCCTCTAGGAGTCGCCAATGGAAATAAAACAGACACGCACAAAAAATGTGCGTACGCCTGCCAGAAAGCTGCCGTGAACCTGCGCACATTCCCACGTTCAGTTCATTGTTAGTAAATCCAAAGTGAGCGATTCTGAGCGTGAAACTTGGCGTACGCAAAGTTTTTGTGCGTACGCAGCGTTGATACATGAGGACCCAGATGTTTAAGACCTCCAATTCCTGGAATCTGATGGAGGTCTTGCTTAAAAGGATCTGAAAGTCATCAATTGTTAAACTAAATGCAAAAACGTGTTTTGAGCATAACAATGGATGCTGAAAAATTCATCAGATATAAAATGTGAATGTCTTCCTTAACCAGCTTAATGGAAGGCATGCATGAAGTATTTTTAGGATACTTTTATGAAACATTTTTCTCCATACTTTGATGTGTGAAAAAGGCTACATTCACACTGCGAGGCTTAGTGCTCAAATCATTTTTTTTTTTTTTTGCATGGCTGTTCACACTGCTCTTATAAATGTGGCCCATATCAGATTTGCAGTGTGAACAGATCATGGTCCTAAACTGACCCGCATGCGCAAAAGTGCATTACGGAGAACGCAAAATGTCTAATTATGCACACGTGTGTGCTGCCTAAGTAAGCACGTTGTCAGATCATGCTTATATTATTATTATCCTTTTCACAGACAACCGTGGTGTAGTTCATGAACTGTAAATGATTGTTCGGTCCCACGTTATATTAAGTGTCCTTAACTACTATGTACTTACATCAAAAAATAAATACAATGTACTTACTGTGTTTATAATGTATTTGAGAACACTTGTGGTGCTTTTGAGTTGGGATAGAGGTTGGGTTATGGACAGGTTTGGTGGCATGGGTAGGTTTAAGGGTGGGTTAAGGTGTAAGGGATGGTCAACAGTGTATTTACAAATGTAATTACAAAAGTTAATTACAGATGTAATTACATACATGTATTTAATCAAGCAGTAAATAAGTACACAGTAAATAAATGTATTTACACAATAAGTACATTGTAACAAACTATTAATTCCTGTGTAAGTAAATGTTAGTTAAGGCCACTTAACAACTAATTGTTCTGCAAATACTAAAGTGTATTTCGGCATTTGAGACCTAAAATAAGTCTCCTGTGATTAAAAAAAACACTGATCGTTTGTGATTTATGACAACGGCTGTGCATGACGCTCTGATCATGGTGTAGTGAACTTATCAATGGTTAATGAGCAGCCGCAAACTGAGCTGTGAAGGCGGAGTTGGTTTACTCCGTTTGCGGAGTTATTTAATTTTACTTCGTTATAAACAACAGACACGTGCAGAAGGGGGGTTTGGGTGCTCGAGCACCTGCCCTTTTTTCTCTCGGATAGAAAGTTCTTCCTCCTTTGCACACGAATCCCCTATACGCAACACCCATGAAGCTTTTCGGCTTCGCGATCAACCCGTGCCTCAATCGTTAACCAGATTAGCTAACAAGCACCAGTTTTGCCTTCAAAATCGTTTTTAACATGAACAACCAACTTTCTGTGATACTGTAATCGCCCTGTGTGCCATTCTACTGTGCTGTTGAGGGGTAGATGATGTTTGCAGCACAGAATGATGACGCATGTCACTCAAAGATTACGTAAAAGTCACATGAAATCCAACATGACCGTTCACACTGCGGTCGCATTGCAGACCATCAGATCTGTGTCTGATTTAAGACCACATATGAAAGTGGCACAGATGTGACCTGAAAAGATCAGATTCCATGCGGTTTGGGCTGTTCACACTGTCATCACCTGAGTCACATGAGGGGGAAAAAATCAGATTCGTGCCACATTTGCCAGCAGTGTGAACGTAGCCAAAGAGCAGCAGGAATGTTCTACTAAACTTCTGTTTTAATATTCGGCTAAAGACAGACATTTTTTTTCCTTATGTTCTTTAATTCTTCAACCCTAGCTGCCTGGGAGTGCTAGGGTTCCACAGAAATGTTAGGAAGTAAAAGGAAATTATTATTATTATTATAACCTTTGATAATTACGATTTTATCAATTTCTCAGGAAATATACAGTATATAGATATATGTATAGTAGATATAGTTCTATGTATAGTATTTAAGCTGTATTAAAAATATTGGTCCCACTTTATATTAAGTGTCCTTAACTACTATGTACTTACATCAAAAAATAAATACAATGTACTTACTGTGTTTATAATGTATTTGAGAACAAGTGGTGCTTTTGAGTTGGGATAGAGGTTGGGTTATGGACAGGTTTGGTGGTATGGGTAGGTTTAAGGGTGGGTTAAGGTGTAAGAGATGGTCAACAGTGTATTTACAAATGTAATTACAAAAGTTAACTACAGATGTATTTACATACATGTATTTAATCAAGCATAGGTACACAGTAAATAAATGTATTTACACAATAAGTACATTGTAACAAACTATTAATTCCTATGTAATTACATATTAGTTAAGGCCACTTAATATAAAGTGGGACCAAAATATTAAATTAGGATAATATCCTTAAAGAGAACACAAATAATTCAAATACAGTGGTGGAGAAATTATTATAGACCATTTTGAGGGATGTAAACGAAAACAATGGTCCCAACACATCTCCGGTTTTACATTTTTAATTTCTATAGCTTCCGAAAATCCAAAAAGAGCCACATATTGATGAATAACGTTATGATAGCTGTTTTAACAATAAGTTGGGATTGAATTGCCTCTTGTTACAGTTATGAAATAGTTTGAAAACAAGCAAGAAACGTTCATGGGCCAATGACATGACCACATTGAAATAGTCTATACCCTATAAAAAATTCAGCTGAATGTAATATTTGCAATAGCCTGCTTGATTTCTCCTGTTAAATCCAACAGTGTAGTTTATGTTTTCTCTCACATTCATTAGGGTGTACTCATTTTTTGCATCATGATCCTAAATTGTTTTGTTAGCGCAGTTCTGTTTTTTTTTCCTGATTAATCTTATGCTTAACAAACAAAACAGATTTGCATATTTTTTATTAAAGTATTCCACAGAAAGATTTAATTTAAAAGTAGTGCTGGGCAGAGATTTATCCTGATTAATCACATGCAAACTCCAAAACAATCCAAAATAACAGTTTGCTTTTACATAATATATGTGGATGTACTGTCTATATTTATGTATATCTAAATACACACAGTAGGTAGTGCTGTCACCTCACAGCAAGAAGGTCGCTGGTTCGAGCCTTGGCTAGGTCAGTTGGCGTTTCTGTGTGAAGTTTGCATGTTGTTCCTGCATTCCTGTGGGTTTCCTCCGGGTGCTCCGGTCTCCTCCACAGTCCAATTTATGCGGTATAGGTGAACTGGGTGTGCAAAACTGTCCGTAGTGTATGAGTGAGAATGAGTGGATGGATGTTTCCCAGAAATGAGTTGCAGCTGGAAGGGCATACGCTGCGTAAAACATATGCTGGATAAGTTGGCGGTTCATTCCGCTGTGGCGACCCCAGATTAATAAAGGGATTAATCCGAAAAGAAAATGAATGAATGAATGAATGAATAAATACACGCTTGCATGCATATATTTGTAGATAATAAAAATCATATATCAATGTAAATATTTTCGCTCAATAAAATTGCATAATTTTGTTTGTATATGCATGAGTGAGCATAAAAATATATAATACACACATATTTTATGGCAAAATAAACTTTTATTTTGAGTGTGATTAATCTGTGCCCAGCACTATTTAAAAGCGAAATAAATAATTACACCCTGACAGATTTTTGACAAAAACATTTATGCTGGGCTTTTACAAAAGGTAAATACATATTTTTTAAATCATTTATTAAAGTAATACAATAATTGTAAAAATATTATGAATTATTCATTCATTTTCTAGTCGGCCTAGTCCCTTCATTAATCCGGGGTCGCCACAGCGGAATGAACCGGCAACTTATATTATGAATTATTCATTCGTTTTCTTTTTGTCTCAGTCCTTTATTAATCTGGGGTCGCCACAGCGGAATGAACCTCCGACTTATCCAGCATGTTTTACGCAGTGGATGCCTTTCCAGCCGCAACCCAACCCTGGTAAACAACACCCATACACTCTTGCATTCACACAAACAATTCAGCTATAGCGCATGTCTTCAGACTGTTGGGGAAACCGGAGCACCCAGAGGAAACCCAAGCAAACGTGTGGAGAACATGCAAACTCCACACAGAAATGCCAACCAGTTCAGCCGGGGCTTGATCCAGCGACCTTTTTGCTATAAGGCAATTGTACTCTGTACTCTGTGCCACCGTGCTGCCTATATTGAAAATTAATGAATACATAAATTAATATAAATCTTAAATTGATGATTAAAATGAAGTAAATGTGTAAATAAATTAATACAGCCCTAACAAAGTAACAAAACCTAACAGAGACTAATACATCAGACAATTTTGTACTAAAAAATTACCCCCGTTTATAATATAAAATACAAGAAACTATACCAAGAGCCTTTAACATGATCATATTTTCTCACATATGCCATGTAATAGACTGAAAACTGTGTTATTTCTTTATCTCCATACTCATGATGCCTCATTATTTATAACCTCACTCATTAGTTTGAATATTAATGAAAACAGAAAACTCTCTAAGTCTTAATACAAGAGCAACCTCTGAGCAACACGTTTCTCTCTGGGGATAGTAAGTAGCAGCATTACCTTAAGAGCAATGTGTTTACTGTCGTGAAGGATCATTTCCTCCGACAACATCAGGACTCTCTCTGGGCTGCACAGGTCCAGTGGCTGCAATGCAATTAAACACTCATTATATCCACGATATGTGCATCATGGCAGTCTTGCCATTCGCACAAGGATGTGTGCTAGTATAACGCATCCTTAATAAAATATAATAATAGCACATCTGCCTTTAAAGCAGCCAAAATATCGGTACAAGCTGCCATGAAATGTTAACTTAACTGCAGTATCATGTGCTGTGACATATATTACTCCAACTAAAACTAGTTAAAGCAACATATTTGTTTTTGTTTTAAACAAACCTCAGATTAATTGAGTAAACAAATGCATAATTCTGAATATGTATCATCAAATATATATTTAAATAAAAAATTCTGTACAAATTAAGTCAAGTACACTGCAAAAAAAAAAAACAAGTACACTGCTTTCTTTTTTTTTTTTTAAGAGTTTTTATCTTGTTTCTAGTTTAAATACATAAAAAAAAAAATCTTAAATCAAGAAGCATTTTCTAGACAGCAAAAAAGTTGTCTTGTTTTCAAGTGAGTTTTTCCTTATACAAGCACAATAATCTGCCAATGGGATGAGGAAAATAATATACGTTTTGCTTTGAAATAAGATTATTTTTGTTGATATTTTTGCCTGTTTTAAGGAAAAACTAAAAACGAGACAATATTTTCCGCTTGTCTAGAAAATTCATCTTGATTTAATACTTTTTAGATATTTAGACTAGAAACAGGATAAAATGACTACAATAATTGTAAGATAATGCACTACTGTTGACACGTTTAAACCGAATCAAAATGAAGTATTTGCAGGAGTAGATTACACACAATGGCAATTCAAATGTTGAACAGAGGTGTTTTCCACAGTTGCATGTACAGTTGAAGTCAGAATTATTAGCCCCCCTTTGAATTTTTTTCTTCTTTCCAAATGATGTTAAACAGAGCAAGGAAATTTTCACAGTATGTCTGATAATATTTTTTCTTCTGGAGAAAGTCTTATTTGTTTTATTTTGGCTAGAATAAAAGCAGTTATTAATTTTTTTAAAGCCATTTTAAAGACAAAATTATTAGCCCCTTTAAGCTAAATTGTTTTTCGATAGTCTACAGAACAACCATCATTATACAATAACTTGGCTAATTACCCTAACCTGCCAAGTTAACCTAATAACCTAGTTAAGCCTTTAAATGTCACTTTAAGATGTATAGAAGTGTCTTGGAAAAACATCTAGTCAAATATTATTTATTCTCATTATGGCAAAGATAAAATAAATCAGTTATTAAAAATGAGCTATTAAAACTATTATGTTTAGAAATGGGTTGGAAACAATCTGTCCGTTAAACAGAAATTGGGGAAAAAAATAAATAAAAATTCAGGGGGTGTAATAATTCTGACTTCAACTGTAATTCGCTTCAGTCTTATCTACTGCAAGTAATTCATCTTGAGGTGAAAATATATATATATATATATATATATATATATATATATATATATATATATATATACTGCAAAAATGCTTTTCTTGCTTAGACTTTTTGTCTTGTTTCTAGTCCAAATATCTAAAAGTTCCTAAATCAAGAAGCGTTTACTAGACAAACAAAAAATATTGTCTTGTTTTCAGAAATAATATGCCAAAATTAAGTGAGTTTTTACTTAAAACAAGCTAAATAATCTTGTAAAATAATATATATATATATATATATATATATATATATATATATATATATATATATATATATATATATATATATATATATATATATATATATATATTTATATATGTACTGAAAATACCTGTACAAAAACAGGGAAGATCAGAATCTTGGGGGCCAGACTGACGTATGTGCCATAGTTGGAGTGAGGCAGGTGGGACTGGACGATGGTGCAGTTCTGGTAGTTGGCGAAGCTCTGTCTGTAAGATGAGGGGGGCAGGGTGGTGGTTTTACTGCTCATAGTTCGACACAAGGTGGCTTGGCCTTGTAGGCCACCATCCTGAAGGTAGTCTGGGCTCTGCTGCAGTCCTCTGCTAGTCTGGTAGATTCTTCCTATGAAATGACATATCACACAAAAATAATGCTATTACAATCTTTATTGGTCTAATCTGTATTAGGATTAAATAAAAAGAAAAAAGGGTTTTTTCAAGCATCAGAAAAACACTTTTTTGTCACATTATAATGCATAAATGGTTTATACTGACTGCTTTTTCTACTTTAAATCACTGGGACAAATATGCTGCGCTGAATATTGAATGAATTTGAAGGACGGATATGGGTTTTAAATGACCTTTTAGTACTCATTATGTGGTTTATTACATACTTTGTTTTCATCCATATTTTGACATATTATGCTCACAATTATTTTAAATAGACATTTTACTTAAATTTAATTTGCTTCCCTTGTGCATAAAATCCCTTTTGCAGTTGTGAAATCAAAATAGAATATCTCAACTTTTATCCATTATTAAAGTACATTACAGCATCGAGTAAAAAAAAAATAACATTGAAAGGTTTCATAAAAAAACCATGTCCCATAATAATCATGATTTTGGTCATTAGATGGACAGAAGCTGGATTTCTGTGGGCATCTACACTTTCATAAGAAATCTGTGTTTTATTTATCAGTGTAAGTAATCAAATGTGAACGAGCTCAAAATGTTTTACAGAGCAAGCTAGGCATGGGACGATAACCGGTTTCAAAGTTTACCACAGTTTGGAAAAGTCAGGTATTAAAACCGCAAAAATATTTCTAAGGTATATGTAAAGGTTTTTTTTAAATGTCTTTTTTTTATGTGTTGTAAGGAAATCTGTGTTTTTGAAGCGAATGAATATAGTAGAAATGAACAGTTTATTTCAACTATGTAGCCCGACATGTTTACTGCTCCAAAATATTGTAAATGTTTTCTAAAATGTAATATATTGTGTTAAATGGGGGAAAAGTTGTTGTTTTGTACTAAAAAATTAAAAAGAAATTGTTTCACAGCAGTTAACAATACCGTGATACCATGACATTTTTATTTAAGGCTATCATACTGTCAGAAACTTAGACTCAGAAACTTAGTCACATTTTAAAACTGATCAGAGACCTGAGAACGTTTATAAGAAACACTTTCATTGGTTGTCTCACCTAAATTCTCATTGGAATCAGAATACGTTGACCACGTGTTATGAATACGTATGAATATTTTAACTATTCCTTTATTATACTGTACATTGGACGGCGCGGTGGCTCAGTGGTTAGCACTGTCGCCTCACAGCAAGAAGGTCATCGGTTCGAGTCTCGGCTGGGTCAGCTGGGATTTCTGTGTGGAGTTTGCATGTTCTCCCCGTGTTGCCTTGGTTTTTTTTTTCCGGGTTCTCCGGATTCCCCCACAAGTCCGAAGACATGCGCTATAGGTGAATTGGGTAGGCTAAATTGTCCGTAGTATATGTGTGTGAATGAGAGTGTAGGGGTGTTTCCCAGTAATGGGTTGCAGCTGTAAGGGCATATGCTGTGTAAAACATACGCTGGGATAGTTGTCGTTTCATTCCGCTCTGGAGACCCAAGATTAATAAAGGGACTAAGCTGAAAAGAATATGAATGAATTAATGTGTGTGAACGAAAGTGTATGTTTCCCAGTGATGTGTTGCAGCTGGAAGGGCATCCGCTGCATTAAACATATGCAAGATAAGTTGGCGGTACTTTTCGCTGTGGCGACTCTTGTTTATTAAAGGGACTAATCCGAACATAAATGAATGAATGAATATACTGTACATCAATATGTTCCATAGTGATCACAATGTACGTGTCTGGTCATTAGATAAACAGAAGCTGAATTTTTGTTGGCAAAATCAATCAAATCAACTTAATTTTTGACTATTTATCAGTGTGATTAATCAAATGTGGACAAATGTCACATTTTAAACTGATTTTCAAACATTAATCAGTAACATTTTCATGGCTGTCTCACCTAGAGTTCCCAGCGTCCCATTGGAGTCAGAATACACTGGCTGCAATATCTGCCAAACAAACCATTCATATTAGTGACATGTCAGCATTAGACAGAACAAAACTGCTTTCAGATCCCAACCTGGTTTCCGGGGCTGACAGGCGAGAGGATGATATAGTTATCGCCGTTCGATGATGTCACACGGGTACCTTTGAGAGTCTGGGTGCGCGTTTTGTAGTCGTTTTCTTCTCGCTTGCCAGTCCAAGACCACAGTGACTCTCCCACGCCGCTTCCCGCATTATCAGAGCTGCTTCCTTTTTTACGGCGGCCCTGTTTGTGATTGGTAGGCCGAGAGAGCAAAGGTGGCGTTTTGTTTTGAGTCTTTGCGGTCGAAGAGAGAGACTCGAATCCGGAAGGCTTGTAGGAAGGCCTGTGAATCAGCCCCTCATAGTAAGGCTTCATGATAGGCACAGTCCTCCAAACCACCACTGTGATCTCATTACGACAGTTCCTGCAGAGAGAAACACATTTTATTGATTTATTTTAACAGGGACAATGCTCAATAATCAACCGAAAAACTGTAACTAGGCTAGTTTTCATCTCTTGCCCCCTGCCCGATTTTAAAAAAGTCAACCTAAAATGAAAAACCTGAAAAATCTCAGTATAATTACATATTTTAAATACAAAGATATTTTAAAAACTGATAAGAATGTCATAAATAACAAGAATTACACATAATTACAAACTTGATTAGCTCGTAGCCATTTCTTTAACTTGTATTTAAATGTTGAATAATTAGTAATACCCCTAAATTCAATGGGAAGTGTCTTCCAGAAAAACTGAAACATAAACCAGATAATGCGGAGACTTTTATTTAAGTATGTTGTACTGCCGTCAGCTAGCTCTCTGCAACTCTCACATGGTCACCCACTGAAGCTAAGCAGGGCTGTGCCTGGTCAGTACCTGGATGGGAGACCACATGGGAAAGCTAGGTTGCTGCCGGAAGTGATGTTAGTGAGGCCAGCAGGGGGCGCCCAACCTGTGGTCTGTGTGGATCCTAATGCCCCAGTACAGTGACGGGGACTCTACCGCTCAGTGAGCGCCGTCTTTCAGATGAGATGTTAAACCGAGGTCCTGGCTCGGACCGAGTGTTTGTTAAAAATCCCAGAATGACGTTTAAAAAATTTAAAAAAAAAAAAAAAAAAAAAGGAGTAGGAGTTTCACCAAATTTGCCCACTGGCCTCCATCCATCATGGCCTCCTAACCCTCCCCATATCATAACTGGCATATCATCACTCTGTCTCCTCTACACCAATCAGCTGGTGTGTGGTGTCTGGTGCAAAATGGCTGCCGTCGCATCATCCAGGTGGATGCTGCACACTGGTGGTGGATGAGGAGATTACCCCTATTGTGTAAAGCACCTTGAGTGCCCAGAAAACGCTATATAAATGTAAGGAACTGTTATTTATTATTACTTTCATGTGAAACAGAATATTGAGTAAGGGGCGGGCCTTTCTTTTTGTGTAACATTTCCTCATAGCAAACTAAAGGTAGGAGGTGTGTGGTTAAGAATATTGTGGCTTAAGCTGTCAAATTGACGTCAACAGAGACACTCCAAAAAAAACGGAAGCAAATGCTCAGACAATGATTGAGTTTACCAAAACAAACTTTTTTTTTCCTTCGGACATGTTAATTGCTCACTTAAAGAATAACAACTTGTGCAAGCAAAATAAACATTGCAAATTTTGACAATAACCATTAAATGGATTTCGAAAGAATCATCATTAGCTCCTTTCACACAGAAATACTGGTAAATATCGGGAATGTCTTTACCGGTATAATCAAAAAAGTGATGTTCACCCAGTCAATTTTCCCAGAAAGGATACACGTCCATTTCAAAATAGCGGTAAACTCTGACATCAATCACCAATGTAGGTCAAGTAATGACCTCTGAACGGCTGCGCTTGTATTTGTAAACATGAAGAGGTTTTTTTTGTTAAATTTGTTAACATTTTGTTACAATTTTTGCAATGTTCCTTTTGTTCAGACACACATTGTCATGAGATTTTAATTTTAGGTTAGATTTACATCATGAGGTCTAGCCAGTGTCTTAGGACAACGTTATTTTGATATCTAATAACGACATCAAATGATGTTGATATTTAGTTGATTTTAGGATTGTTGGAAAGTGACCAAAATCCCATCATCTTAAACCAACGTCATACTGACGTCAAATACTGACATTTATTGGTCAGGAATGCCAACCAAAATCCAACATCTGACAGAATTTAGATTGGACGTTGGACATTGACGTCAGCCTGACTTTGGGTTCTGAAGTCAGCCTAATTTTCATTTCCAAACAAAGCGCAATGTCCCTACGACTTTGGAGTACCACATTAATCTGATGTCATGTTGATGTCCTGTGCCTGCTGAGAAACACCATACTTCAACATCATTACTTTAAAATATTACATAAGGAGATTGTCGCAAATAAACGTGACTTTGATGTTCCAAATTTAGTTTAGCTAATTTAGCATCGTTTGTATGCAACTTGGTTGATTGTAATTACAAAATAAAATAAAACCTAAGAAGATTAATCAGAAACACTTTCATTGCCCCCTGCCAAGTTTTTTTGTTAATGGTTACAATTTTATAAAAAATTTTAAAGCTGATTTTATCCCAGAGACAATTCAAGATACTGAACTATATGAAAAAAAAATATTTTGTTCATATATTTGACTACATCACAAAGGGTCAGTTCTGTGGAGGGATGAGTATTGTGAACAACTTCGATGAAGATATATGGAGGAACACATTCGCATGTTGAGATGTACATTTGTGTGTGTGCTAGTGCTTATGAGACCCTCTATGAAACTTAACACTACCGGTGTTGTAGTCAGATATTTTGAAGAATGTTCAAAGGGTTTTGTTGATTTCCATTGCTTTTTGCACGTAAACTGGAAGGCAAAACTCTTTTTAAAATCATCTTCTTTTGTTTTTCACATTACAAAAAAAAAATGATGACAGAATTGATTAAATAAGTGTTGTAAACCCTGAGGTTACAAAAACATCCATACAGTGCACACCTGATGGCATGAGCCAGATCCACACACTTCCAGTGTTCAACCGGCTGGCCGTTCAGCTGCAGTAATGTGTCTAGCTGTTGTAAACCGGCCTGATGAGCTGGACCACCTACATAAAACAGACAAACACACTCAAGATGGAGACAGAAGGGAAAGTGGCATGTCACATTTGTTTGACATCAAGAAAAGCTCAATGATTTGTACTGAAATTTAACATAATGAATTAACAATAGTAAGGCTTATATGCACCAAAACCAAAACTAGCATCCACATTAGAAAACAACATTGTCATTTTTTTATTCAAATTTTTATTAAATGATCCACCTCTTTAAAAAAGAATGGATTCTGATTCGCTTTCACAGTTCTTTTCATTCATCAGCTAGAAAAAAACATTTTTTTTAACCTTATTCCAATTATGCTAATCTGTTATTGTTATATGTTTTTTACAGCCTGATCTAACGAGGAAACGTAAGTATTTTATGTTTTGTCACTTTAGTGGCTAATTCGTACGATTTTAAAAAGGAGGCGTGGCATCCAACCCCACCCCTAACCCCAACTGTCATTGGCTTTTGAGCAAGTTGTACTAAATTGTTCGAATTAGATCGTGCGAATTTACACGAATTAGCCACTAAATAAAAAAGTTACGAATTGCCATGACATTGCGTTGTTTTTTTCGTGTGGACAATTCTAATTCTTGAGAACTATCTTTTCTGGTATCGTTATTCTTCTAACTAAACGATGATTTACCAAAATCCCCAAAAAGTCTGCAATTCAAAACTTTAAAATACTAAGAATACCAAGTCTCCTGCGCTATAATCAAGCATTTTTAAAGAAATTTGATGCTACTCTAAGGAAATTTTTAATTAATTAGAGAAAAACAACATGACAACTTTGAAAAGATTACCTGGATCAACAGCCTGGACCCGTACAGGAGAGTCAGAGCAGATGGTGAAGCCAAAACCATCTTTTCCTCTCAAAATGGTCACCTGTGAAAGAGCACATGTATTCATAATATCATTTAGAGGTAGTTTTTATCCTATTTGAAAAAAAAACAAACTTTTTAATTAATTAGGACATATAAAAATTAACAATTAAGTAACAAGATTTACAATCGTACGAGACATTTCAAGTTCAAAATAAATTTAAAAGGAAAATGATTCCTTTTTTGACTTTTCCTTTTTCCTTTTTTTTTTTTCACACATGACCAACAGGCTTACTCTGGGATACACTTTCTCATAGTAACTTGAACATTCTGTTTACAGTTGAGGTTTTAGTAGAGCCATTTTGTAATGGACCACTATTTTGTATCTGGATTATAGTAAAATTGTAGTAATAAAATAATTTATTCTTATTTTAAAAATTATTCTTTTTAAAATTGTAAAATTGTTTCAATGAAAATATTAAAGGGATGGTTCACCAAAAATGATCTGTAATGATTAAATCACTTTTTACAAACTTTTATGAGTTTCTTTTTTTTTATTAAACACAAATGAAGATATTTTGAAGAAAGCTGGAAACTTCTTACTATTTGTTTTTCCTACACTCTCAGAAATAAAGGTACAATATTGTACCAAAGAAGGTACAAACCCTCATCACTGGGGCAGTATCTTTTTTTGGAACAGAACTGTGTAACAGACAGAAACAAATTTGTACCATTGCCGTTTGTGCCTTTAAGGACCTGATTTGTACCATGGGAAAACCAAAATGTACCAAAATGATCATGTGAGAAAAAACACGGGTATGTGATGCCTAAAAATGTTGCTTTGCAATTACCAGAATAAATTACATTTGATAAACACATCAATAATATTTCTGCATTCTCAGAAATAATATGCGAACTGTCACTGGGGTGGTACCTTTTAAAAAGGTACAAATTTGTAAAAAAAAAAAAAAACCCATACTAATACCTATGGGGTACATATTGGTACATAAAAAGTACATAAGTGTTCCTCTTGAAATTTGTAGGTACTAATATATACTTTTGAGGTACCAATATGGACCCTTTAAGTACAAATGAGTACAGTGACAGCTCTATTTATTCCTTTATTTCTTAAAGTGTGTTATACTCCGTTTGAGATTAAATAAATGCACAAAAATATATATTTCTAAATCTCAAACTTTTAAATACCAAATGGTCCAAAAATAATCAAAAGTGGAAGTTAACACCTAAATAAAACACAGTTCAATTAAATAAAAGCCTTTGATAGGTATAAAAAAAATACCCCCAAAAATAAGACTCCTTTAAATGGACCGATTAATCAACCTTTACAGAACATTCAGGAAGGCAGATCATCCACAGTAGGAGTACAGTGTAAAAGGCCTCACAGTAACCGGGTCAGTGAGTGTGTATGTGAGTGTGTGTGCCAGATACAAACATCTCCCAGAGTGCCACTGTACCCCAACAGCATGAAGACTGAAATGCCACAGCGCCAAAGAGTCAGGGATATTAAAAACTACAAGCTGAGAAATTAGTCAGGGTTGCTGGGTGATCAAGAGGGGGGCTTTTCTTTTTCTCCCTGGCAGAGGAAAGGAAATGATGGGGGAGAGAAAACTACCATGGCACTGACAAACAGCAGAGACCGAATATTTGGACAGTAGAAGTTCAAAATGTCAACAAAACCTGGAGCCAAGCTAAATAGGAAATGTTGAAGGGGAGGGGATGAAGGGGGGGCATCTCACATTTAACATGACATTGACCGCACAACAACAAAGAGGCTTGTTTGGGGAGGGAGAGCGAATAAAAGGAGAAATAGTGATGACAGCTTTAGGACTTTCACTGGCGTTCCTCTTTTCTCCTCTGGGGTCGATGTGGTCGTCCTTGTTATAAGCTCCATTAACTGCTGTGATGAAATAATTATCCAAACTCCACAAGTTTCCTTTTCCCGCTGTTTAGACTTGTTTTTCAGGTTCGAGTAATGCATTCACCTGTGTAATCATGGTGTGGTCAAAGTAATAGCATTACTGAATGTAGTCTCTGATGATGATATTACTCGTACCTTATGCCGTAATCCAGTTTAAGAGAATGAGAAATGTTCCGTCGGTTTTAAAGGGAGTTTTAAACAAAAGGTCAAGAGGGTGAGCAGACGTCCTGATTTCGTGAGGTGGTGTCCCAGTTTCACAACAAGTCGCAGAAAAATGTAAATATGGCCTGGTTTTGGCTGTTAAGCTCAATTGATGAAGTAGCCCAATGTGCTAGTAACAATGTTTTGTCTTTTCAAATTGTATTTTATTTATATTATATTATATTATATTATATTATATTATATTATATTATATTATATTATATTATATTATATTATATTATATTATATTATATTATATTATATTATATTATATTATATTAAATTATATTATATTATATTAAAATTAAAAAATATTATCTGATATTTATTATATTATATTATATTATATTATATTATTTTATATTATATTATTTGATATTATACTATATTATAATTATATGATATTATTTTATATTATATTATTTGATATTATATTATTTGATTTTATATTATATTATATTATATTATATTATATTATATTATTTGATATTTATTACATTTTATTATAATTTTATTAAATTATTTGATATCTATTATATTATATTTTATTATTTGATATTAAATTATATTATAATTATAAAATATTATTTGATATTTATTATATTATATTATATTATATTATTATCAATTTAAATTTATTTTAACATACATTTGTTGTTGATTCATTCAAAAGAAAACTAGATAAACAAGACAAAGTTGACTAAGATTAGATTTAAATCATACTACTAAAATAAACTCCTCATCTTCAATCTTTTGTAGATCCTTTCTTTCCTAATACTATACAAACAAACAAAATTGGGCATCTCCAACAAAACTCCCAGAGACACTCACCCCCAACACGTGAAGAATACTCATCCGCCCTCCCTCCCAGATCTTATATTTCTACCATTGACTAATGTTCATCGATTAAGCCATACATCCCAGGAGAGCTTGAGATGCATCTTATGGATGATCCTTTCTATTGTGCACAGCAAACTAAATGTGCTGCCTTCATCAATCTGACAAGGTCAAGGTCTGACATTTTACTATTACTTTTAAGTTGGTAGAATGTAAAATGGCATTACTTTGAAAGTGGCTTTGGGTAAAATCATTTACATTTACATTTAATTTAATATGTTTATTCAAAGCCACTTACAATGCCATTCCAGAGAAACAAAAGGATAAATAAAGTTGTTTCCCATTGCTGAAAGTTCACTGGAGAGTCGTCAACCATCCAAGATCATTGAATCAAAAAGAGTTGTTGTTGTTTTAATATACCTGTCAGTTTTGAGATTTGTGGCTTTAATGAAGTGTTTTTCAATCTAATGGAAAGCATTAGAAAACATCCACAATTAATATCTCTTTTTGTTGCTTCTATTGCATTTCATCAATTTGTTTCTGTAGCTCACAATACATATTATTATTGTTTGTTTCTTTTTTTTGCTTAAATGTATTTTTAAGTCATAAATAACCAGCAAAGCAGCCTTTACATAGACCAAACTTCAAATCCCCACAGTAAAAACCTTTGACACCAATATGTCACAAACAAAAATAAATCAAGAGCTTTGAAGTTAACATCCAACATTTAGATCTATGAGCTTGAAATGTATGCAAATGATCTCGTATTTTATAATAATGCATCATTTGCATATCAATTTCAACTTCAATTCAAAAATAAAAAATGTTTAATGACAAATGTTTGCTGTTCTGAATGTAATCAATCAACTGCATAAGTGTGCTGATAGTTATACTACTATCAACACACTTATACTATAAATACTTATACTATACTATATACTAATAGTTCATGTTTTAACCCTACACTGTAGCAAATGCATGGTTCCACACAATTTGTTTATGTTGCCCCAACACAAATCCATTTAGTTAACTTAATATTTTTTACAAATTTAAGTGGATTCAACATAATTTAATTAAGTTGTCCCCCCCAAAAAAACTTAAGAATCGTGTTGTTTTAACTCATTTTAGTAGTTCAAACAAGCAGCAAAAGTCATATTTGAGTGTATTCCACAGCATTAACCTTAAACAGTTCCCAATCTATCCAAGACCAAACCTGCCATAACATCTCAACCCCAGTTTGAACATCACCACAACCCAAGCCGAACAGAAAAACCTAAAACACACAAACCTGTGGTAAGTTTCGTTCAATGCAGAGTCGACACAGACCGTGGATAGTATGCATCGCTCACAACATATACATCCACCAACATCTACGGCGCTTGAGTAAAAGTACAGTCTCGCACAGGTGATGCAGCTTCCCTCCGCAGTGGCTCTCTATGCATGCCCACTCATGGGAACTGCTCCGAACAGAAGAATGACAGGAAACCACCTTCAACCCCCCCAGCTAGCGGCCAGGCAGTATGTCTGCTCTCGATAAGCCAACGTGTTTCCTGAGCAGCTCTCAACAGTAGCGGCTGAGCTCACTCTCTCTGCGCGGTGAGACGGAGCGCGCTCAGATAGGCTTGATTTCGGGTAAACACAAACATTCATTATGAGCCAGAGATATTGAAGTTCATTCAATGAGAAGCTGGACCAGCGTGGAGGACGTCCAGCCCTTGCACAACACCTCCACGTTGAAGTCAGATGAGTTCAGATTACTCAAATCATTTGTGGAAAGTTATTGGTGCAAAATGTTTGAGTAAGCTGACTCATTTTTGGGCAGCATGGTGGCTCATTGGTTAGCATTGTCGCTTCATAGCAAGAAGGTCGCTGGTTCAAGTCCTGGCTGGGTTTCAGTGTGGAGTTTGCATGTTCTCCTCATGTTGGCATGGGTTTCCTCCGGGTGCTACGGTTTCCCCCACAATCCAAAAATTTGTGCTATAGGCAGGGCTTAATTTGTGCTGGAACACGCCGGATCCGGATTCAGATCTGGCACCTCTGAGATCTGATCCCGCACCTCATTTTACCTCAACTGCCCTCCTCCCCCC